GTCCCTGCACACTCAGAAAATGCCAACTCAGTGACTGCTGCCCTGTGGGCCGTGCACCCGCCAGAGGGCGTGGGGAAGGCGTGGCCACCCCATCACCCCAGCACTGTCACTTGACATCTGTTTTTCACTCTGGGAAAATCAGTTACCTTTGTCTTCCTTTTTGTCGTCTTTGTTTGAACCCAGAGCCTTCACACTGAGTGACATCCCCAGCCTTTTCTATTTTTTGAGACAGGCTCTCCCTAAGTCACTCAGCTACCCGGACTGGGCTCCGACCTTTGACCTCAGCCTCCTGCCTCAGCCTCCCAGCGTGCTGGGATGACAGTTGTGCACCACGACACCCAGCACCGCCCTGATCACTTCTGTACCAAAAGCTGCACCTTCTCAGGTGGCGCAGCTGAGTGCAGAAACTTTGCCTTTTAAATGCCACCCCTGTGGCAGCTTGCCTGGTGGCCCTGGCAGGGACGGTGGCGTCCCGCCAGGCCCTGATGTCTGACTCTGTGTGGGGAAAGGGTTTGTGCTGATGTCAGAGGTGAGCTCGCTCCGGACCCTCCTGAGAGGTGACTTGGGAGAGACACACAGAGGGCGCCGAGGGACCGAGTGACAACAGAGTAGGCACTGACGCGAGGCAGGCACCAGCGGGGGACCCTGGAGCCCAGGAGCCAACGAGCAGGAGGCTTCTCCCCTAGGGCCCCCAGGGAGTGAGTGGGAGCCCGTCACACTTGGGTTTCAGCTTTGAGCCTGCGAGACGGAGAACACCCGCTTCTGCTTTAACCGCCCAGGTCCTGGGCACTTGCTACGGTGGCCGGGAGGGGACACTGGCAACTCTGTCCCTGCCCTCCCGTCCTGTCGTGCTGCGAGTCCGCGTGAGTGTGCGCGTGGGGCATGGACTGCACGTGAGCGCGTGCTGCCCTGTGGCTGCGCCCCGGGCCCTGCCTGCCCTCTGCGTGTGTCTTCTCATATCAAATGATTTTTACAGACTTGATTTTTTTCAGATGCGAAATACACAGTGCAAAGTATATGTTTCTTGCATAAAGCTTGGAAGATACAGAGAGATATACATATGGAACAAAAAATTATAGTTAATGATTCCAGCCACAGATAATGACAGTGTTTGTGGTCTGTGTACTGGCTGAAGACCCCTGGGAAACATGGCCCGCACAGCCGCTGTGGGAAGCAGTGCGGTGTTTTCTTAAATGCGCCGGGCTGCAGCCCGGCTGTGGGCTCCGGGCAGTCATCGGGGCCCGAGGACCTCTGTCCAGCGGAAGCCGGGTGTCGTCATGCACAGCCTCAGACTGACCCAGCCTGAGCATAGCATGCGAGAGGGGCGTTTAGGAGGGACCGAGTGCCTGTCCCACACCCCGGGCTGAGGACACAGGGCCAGCCACGCCGGGGATGGGTCACAGGGCTGACAGCCGGGAGAGAAGCGGGGTGATGTCCCAGCTGCTCCAGGCCACCGATTCCATTTCTGTCCCGCTAAGCGGTGGGGCACAGAGGTGGGGGCAGACCCGTGAGACGGGGAGGGGGGTGTGACTGGGATGGGGGAGGGTTGGTGGTGGCGATGGCTTTGTGCTCGACTGGGGCCGTGGCTGCACAAATCTCCGGGGACCCAGGGACGTGGGCACATGGCCACACATGGTACCGGATGCCGCCGCTGGGGGAGGCCAGGGAGGCCCTGGGGTCCCTCCGTTCTCTCTGAGACATTGTGTCCATCTAAATTGATTTCAAAATAAAAAATAAGACAGTCCCGATTGGGAAGTGGGAACCACGCTAGGTATTCAGAGGGTCCTATTGCCGGGGATGGAAGGACAGGGAAGCCCCTCGGAGAACCCGGGAGTGACAACACAGGGAGCTGTGTGCTCCGGGCTGGAGCGGAGGGGAGGTGGGATCTCGGGGGCTCCAGGGATCCCCAGGGCAGGGACTGCAGGGTAGGTGGTACCTACCCCTCGGGACCCACAAGTCCTCATGGACCAGACACGGGGTGTCACAGGCTGGTGACCGGAAACTCCCAGCCCCTGGTTGGCATGCAGCTCACTCTCTAGAAAGTGTCCCGGGTTTGCTCTCCCTGGGAAGGGGCCTCTGCCTCCGTGCATCTTGGCTGTCCCCGAGTTACCTTTGGAAGGGAATTTCCATGTCTGCTCTGCGCCTGATCCTGGTGAGGGACGCGCCTCCTGTGAATGGATGACACACAGAGGCCACGGGAGGGGCCCAGGGACCAAGCCAGGCTCTGGGAGCGGCTCTGTGTCAGCACGATTCCCGTCCTCCCGGGCAGCTGCTGGGTCGATCCCTTCCGTGCCTGCCCTGGGTCTCCCCGACAGTTCATGGTCCCTGGAGCCGTGCTCACAGCTGACTGCTCTGTCCCCAGCATCCCCCTCTTAGTCAGGACAATGGTGGCTTTTCTCACCTCTAAGTCTTCCGTGTACATTTTAATGGCATTTATTTTTTAATGACAGTTCAGGTGATTTTTATTTCCTTCCTAACAATACCATGTACTGTATAGTTCAGCTTTTTACAGTCAGTCATATAATACTTTCTATTCAGAGCAAAGATTTTGCCCTTGTGAGAAAAACAGGGTAATGAGACAGGATCTCACTGTGTAGTGCGGGCTTGTCTTGAGCTTGCTTACGTAGCCCAGGCTGGCCTACAACTTTGGGGATCCTCCTGCCCCAGCCTCCTGAGTGCTGGGGTTACAGGTGTGTGCCGCCACGCCCGCCTCTGATGGCTGCCTGAATCGGTTTCTTTCTCTGTGCTGCTCTGTCTGGGCCATCCGTGTGTCACGGACGGAGAGGAGTAGCACCTGCCCGTGTGCAGGTGCCTCGGGCACCTCTGACGTCCCCCACGTCTGTGGGGAGCTTGTCGGGCTCAGCTGGCCACACTGCCACCCATGTGCTGAGCCAGCTGTGGCTGGGAGGGGCAGCAGGAGAGCGTCTCCTGTTGGCTGAGGACCCGACTTAGGGCAGGCCCAGCTGACCTGCTTGGCCAGGGACCCGCCGGCCGGGAACGGGTGTGTCCACAATGCCCTAGTGAGACGATGACCCATGCAGCCGGCCCTCCCTGCTGGCCGCTGGTCTGGAGGTGGCCTCCTGCATGAGTCCACCGCCGGGTGGCAGGTGGGGTGACACAGGGCCCCCAGGCAGAGGTGCCGGGAAGGGGAGGGGCTCTGGTCTTCCTGATGCCTTGTGACCCGGCCCCGGCTGGGCCGCTCCATGGGTGCAGGGGCCCCGGGGCTGACGCCTGGTCCTGCCTCCCCACCTCTTCCCTCAAGCCCGTCTGCACTGCTCCTAACAAGCGTCACACACTTGGCGGATCACATCCACACCCTCTGCTTGCGGAGCTCCTGGGGCCACAGTTGGGCTCTGGGTCTTAACACGGAGTAATGGAGTGGTCAGCCTGGCCGTGAGCACCCCCCCATCCAAGCTGGCTGGGCCCCTCAAAGGGGAGTCAGGTCAAGCCCAGCAGGCGGCTCCCTCCCCCAGGGAAGCTGGACTCCTTTAAGAGCTCCCTGGCCAGGTGTGGTGGTTCACGCTTCTAATCCCACCCTCTGGAAGGCTGAGGCAGGAGAATGGCAAGTTGGATCCCAGCCTGTGCAGTGTGGCCACTTAGTGAGACCCTGTCTCAAAATAAGAAGTAGAAAGGGCTGGGGCTGAGGCTCAGCGTGAAGCCCTGGGTTTGACTTCCGGCACGGGGGGAGGGGTCTCCTTGATTAGGCCAGGCCCACCTGGGGCAGCTCAAAGTCAGCTGACTAGAGACCTCGGTGACAGCTGCCAAACCCTTTGCCTTTGCCACCCAATGCAGCCGAGTCGCAGGAGCGACTGTCACCCCACAGACGTCGCCCTCGGGAGGGGACCTCAGGGCACAGGCCGGCACTGCCGGGGGGGCCTCTCCCGTGTCCACTGACCTGGGGCTCTGCCCACGGCCCGGACTGGCTCACCGCACACCCGGACAGACATACAGACAGACAGCCAAGGTCTGCAGGACGGAGTTCCTGCCGTGGACGGGTCCATAGCCGCACAGCTACACTCACACTGCTGCCCACAGGCTCTGGACATTGGGGTACGTGTGTGACGATGCCCCGGTCTCCGCTGCACACGGCACAGAGCCAAGGCCTCCTGTATCCATGGGGCCCCTCGTAGCCCCCGAGTCCCAGGGGAGGCGGGTAGCACTGAGCAGCTGCGCCTCCCGCCGTGGATGAGCTGCTTCCCCTCCGGGGCGGCGCAGAGGACAGGGGCGCACGTGCTTGCACCCGTGGGTACTGCCATCCCTCTCTGAGCCTCTCAGAGTCCAGAGCCAGGGTTGTGTGGCTTTCTCTGCTCAGAGAAGAGTCCACAGGGGCCCTGGCAGGAGCGTGACTTCCTCCTCAGCCCGGACTGTCCCGTGCTCACGGATGTATGGTGGACAAGCCAGAAAGCTCTCTGCTGCCCCCTGGTGGGAGGTGGCGACATACAAGAACTTCCAGGCTCCTGCTCTCCCCAGCCTCCCAGCCCTGGGTTCCACCGCCCAGAGACAGGCAGCAGCGCCCAGTCCCCCTCAGGGCCCTGCCTGCCTGCATCCCTCCTCCTCCAAGCCTCAGATTCCCTGTGAAGGGGGTCTGGGGCACGAGAGCGAGGCATGGGCGGTCATCTCTGCAGAGATGGACTTTTGGCACCAGGCTGGGGTAAACGGTCTGCTGTGTGGACTTCGTCTTGTGCCATGCCTGTCCCTTCAGCACCCTGTGAGGCTGAGGCAGGAGAATTGCAACTTGAGGCCTAGCCTGGGCAACTTAGAGACGCAATGAGACCCTTCGTCCAAGTAAAATGCGCGGGGATGTAGCTCAGTGCAGAGGCTCTGGATCATGCGTGAGTATTGGGAAAGAAAGAAGGAAGGGAGGAAGGGCGGGAGGAAGGGAGGGAAGGCGCAGAGATGGGCCACGAAGCAGAGCTTGGGGCAGGATGAGGCCGGCCCAGGACCCTGTCGAGGAGACCTGGGCCCAGGAGCAGCGGGCAAAGTTTCCCTGGAGCCACCAGAAGTTACTGAAAACACCTTTATTGCTCTGCGGCCCTTCCTCCCCGTTCCCAGCAGCTTGATGGGGCGGCCGGCTACCGCCCTCGCCGCCCTCAGCGCTCAGCCCTCAGGGTGGGGGTCCCGGGGCCAGCCACGGGGCGCGGGCCCAGAAGCGCTGTGGGGCCAGGTCGGTCCTGCGGCCGTTGAGCTCGGAGGCGAAGGTCCTGGCCTTCTGGTAGAAGAAGAGGGACATCTCCCGGTCCACCAGGAAGTGATGGTAGATGGTGGCCAGCCGCGTGTAGATCTTCAGCTGCGCCCTCTTGTGGCCCAGGTCCACGGCTGCTGCCAGCGCCAGCTGGTAGTACCCAGCCGCATCGAAGGGGTCCTGCGGGTGGAGGCGGCCTTAACGGTGTGGCTTCTAACCAGCAGGGCACAGCAGGGACTCTGGGACCTTCCCCTACAACGGCTCCATCATCCCCACCCCACACTGGGGCTCCCTGAGGCTCTGCCGCCTGTGACACTTTGAGGACATCTGGTCTGGCCATGTCAGTCCCAGGCTGGAACCCTGACATCCCCTGTGCTGGCAGCTGCTCCCTGTGGATCCTCCTGCTGCACCCCTCCAGCCTCCTGCTGCACCCCCTCCTCAGAGGCCGTTGCTGCCCTCCTCGGGTGCAGGGCTGGCTGGCTGTGGGGGCTCCAGGCCCAGGCTGTGGGTGAGTGGTGAGTGACCGGGCTTCCCGCGGCTGTGTGGGTGCCGGCTCCCATAGCCCAGGCCTCCCTCGGCCGGCCCAGCACCAGTGCCTCATGCACATCCAGGCGTTGTCCCTGGGGTCTCCTGGGAATCCCAGGTGGGCTTCGACAGCCTTCCCCTTCCCCACGCCATCATGGACGCAAGTGTGCCTGAAGCCCCGTGTTTTGGGTTGGGATGTGGGTCCCCAGCCTGCCCTCGGCCTCTCCAGCCTCTCCTGAGGTCCCGCTCCATGCAGTGCCCCAAGGTCTTCCCTAAAACCCACGCCCAGCCCTGGCCCAGGCCTCCTCTCCTCAGCACCTGGAAGGGCTACGCAGGGCCAAGGACACTGTGCAAGACCCCCAGCCTGACTGTCCCGCCGCAAGGGGCCAGGACAGGGGTGAACATGGAGCAGTTGGTGAGTCCCCACCCCAGGCTCCTGGGGACCCGGAGTAAGCAGGGACCACAGGACCGACCACGAGGGGCGGCCAGGTCTTGGCCAAGGGCGGCCGAGGCACCTGACTCCACTTGACTGGGAGGGGACGGTTCCTGGGGGAGGAAACGTCCCACCCAAACAGGCAGGAGCCAGCCAGAGCACGCACTGCACACACGTGTGCACATACATAGGCGCGGACCAGCTGGGCTCACACCAGTGCGCGCGCGTGCACACCACACCCCTTGCTCGTCTGGCTGTGAGCCCCCTGCAGACTGAAGGTGGCCCTGTTAGACACCCTGGTCCAGCGTCCCCTGGGACCCCTGTCCTGCCCCTCCCCATGCAGGGTCACGGCTGCCCTGGCAGGAAAGCAGGAGCAGGGCCTGGATGAATGTGGTGCTGAAGCATCAGAAGGAAGCGGGGAGGCCTTCCTGGCTCTTGACCCACCTAGCCCGGCCTGGCCTCAGCTCCCAGCAGCAGCCCAGCCCTTTCCTTCCTCCAGGGTGGGCAGGGCGGGTGGCGGGTTTGACATGGAGAGAGGAGGCCCTGGCTGGCCTCTGGGTGGAGGCTGCAAGGACCACTCCTGACCAGCAGTGTCGCCAGTGTATGGCAATGACCCACAGACTGAGGACAGGGTGCAGGTGGAAGGGTGGTGTGGTCAGGGCAGAGCCCAGCTGGCTGTGGCACCTCAGCCCTCCCCAGCAAAGGCACCTACGCTGCAGCGCAGTGCCTGCCCCGGCTGGGGCTGGCGGTGAGGGCACTCCAGGCCCTTGTCAGCGGGCGGCGCTGCCGGGCTGGGATACAGATGGGGCGGGGGTCCCGGCTCCTGTCCCGGAGCGCAGGCCAGACACGTGCTCAGCCAGGCTGCTTGGCCGCTGCTCCCTGCCTGGGAAGCAGGATGGGGTAGCATCCTGGCTCCCTGCCCGGGTGGCCTGGCAAGGGGTGTCTGAGCACTCCAGGAAGGGGCTGCTGGGAGCAGCTGGCAGCTGGGAGCGGGCTGTAGTGTGAGCTGGATCTTGCTCTGTGATCTTGGGGCACGGTGCCCTCAAAATCCTTCTCCCCACTGTAACCCACTTAAACTCCTCCTGGACCGTCAAGGCGAGCTCTAGCATCACCTCCTCCAGGCACCCTGACTACAGCCCCGTGCTGTGCCCCGCGTTCTCCATGGCCAGGCCTGGCCAGTGCGGCAGCTGGGCAGTGTCTCAAGGCCGGGATGGGGTTCCCTGCGCCCACCTTCAGCTCGTAGAAGATGATGTCGCCCAGCACCAGGTACACCTTCACGTAGTACAGCGTCTCCTCCTCAAACTCCAGGGGCGAGCGGCACAGCGACAGCGCCTTGAGGTAGAAGTGCTCGGCCAGCTCGCCGTGGCCCAGCCGGTGGTGCAGGGCGGCCAGCCGGTGGTAGGCCACACGCTCGTTCAGCTGGTCGCCTGGGGCGGGCGGGCAGAGGGACAGGTGTGGGGACGTGACCCGCAGGCAGGGCGAGCCTGCAGGCGTGGCCGGTCACTTCCTGTCCCCAGCCTCACTTCCCAATCTGTGAAGCCGGGCAATCGTGCCTGCTCCCCTCATACCTCGGCATTCGGCCGCATCCCGGCTGTTTGCCTGCGTGAAGCCACCCACATGGGACGCCTTCCATAGCTCTTCACTAGGACCCCCAAAAGGCACATGACAGTGGCCCTACCTGGGGGTGTCATGAGCAGAGGCCCCAGCCCTGGGTGTCACTTCCTGTTGGAACCCCCGCCCCTCTGACAGCCCCAGTGGTCCTCACATCCTGCCCCCTGGGGCCAGAGTGTAGAGGCTGCAGGCAGAGACAAGGGCCAGGCTTGGGGTCCCTCCCCGGAGGCAGAGAGCCCCCAGAGAGCAGGGTCAGGTGTAGTTCCCGGGGAACCCCGCGTTAAGGGGCGGGCATTCCAGCAGCTAGAGAGCAGCGGTACTGCTGAGCGCCGGGAAGGACGTCAGGCAAGGAGCATGACACAGAGCCCCAGCCCGGCACGTTCAGGGAGAGGAAGAGGCCGGGACGCAGGGCGCATGTGTGAGCGTGCATGGTCACCGGGCCAAGGCGGGGGAGGCCCACAGGGAGTTCACCCGTCCTGAGAGACTCGGCCTGGGCTTCGGGGCCGGGCTGGGGTTGGCTGGGCAGATTCTACCTCGGCCGCCTGGATAGGAGAGGAAGGGCCCTGCGATCCTGCTTACCCAGGGTGATGCTGAGCTCCAGGGCCTCGTGGGCAAACTCCAGGCCCTCCTGGGGTGTCTCCAGCACAGCCAGCAAGGCCACCAGCTTGTTACATAGCCGCAGCTCCGCCTCCCGGTTCCCCAGGGTTACAGCCAGGGGCAGCGCCCGGTCCTGTGCACACCAAGGAGGAACTCAGGCTAAGCCCACATGGGGCGAGGCGCCCTCACCCTCTTGTAGGGTCTACGCGCCACCTGAGTCCAGGAGAAATGATGGTTTAGAGAGCGCTATGGGCCCCAGCTGGAGCTGGGGAGACTGCTGCCCTGGGAATGAGGCAGGACCCAGATGTTGGCACATCGGCAGGAGCCCAGGGCTGAGCTGCTCCCGAGCTATGGGGACAGAGGAAGGGGACGCCCGGTTCCCCCACTGGTGGGCTGTGTCCTTTGGAACATCCTCATGCCTCTCCAAGCCTCCGTTTGCTCATCTGCCTGGTGGAGACCCACGGTTCATCCTTGGAGGCTCTGGGTCATCTCGTGCCCCCACCCTGCCCCGAGGGCACACACGGCTCTGCTCACCCGGTAGAAGGACACGGCTTTCTCCCGCTCCCAGGCCCCGTTGAAGAAGATGTCTCCGGCTGCCTCGAACAGCTCCAGCCCCAGACTGGGGTCCCCTGTGTACAAGGCTGCGTTCTGTGCCACCTGCATAGTAGGAGAGCTCTCTGGGGACCGGGTGTGCATCACACGCAGAGCCATCCTTCTCCTGCACCCCAAGCACTCAGCCCCAGGACGAGGACCCTGAGTACCCACAGGTATGGGGGGGAAGGCGCACAGGGCAGAGCTCCAGCCTGGCCTCCAGCATGCCCAGACAGGGACACTCTTGCCTGGCACCTGTGAGCCCACCACCTCCTGCCCCCCCACCTCCTGAGCCCTCAGGGAACATGCCTGGCCACGGCCACCTTCTGTCCCACCAGCCAGTTCAGCTCCACAGGCAGGGATGGACCCAGTTTCTTGCCTCCCTCACTGCTGGGCAGATAGTAGGTGCCCAACAAGTGCCCACAGAGTGGGTAAGAGCTTAGTCCCTGCCCAGAATCCAGCCAGAGCCAGCTGTGTATAACTTCTGGGCAGTGCCAGGCTCCCTGGAGCTTCTAGGCCTGTGCACCTGCTGGTCCTGCCACTGGTCACCCCCACGCTGTCCTCCAGCTGGGCACAAGGCCCCCACCCCTGCCACACCCAGGACCCCCAAGGACCATGCACAGAAGTGCCACCTCCTCTCAGCCAGATTCTCAGCCCTCAGCTCAGCAGAGGGGCACAGTGTCCTCAAAATCAACCTCAGGGCCTTGCACTGTGTTCCAGATCACGTGATGTGGAGAACAGTTTCTATGATTAATGCATTGCCAATGCATAATCGATGTGCTGCTAAAGCAAGTTCTTCTGGGTGTCTATGAGTGGACAGATCACTTGTACACTTATTGAGCACTTGCTGTATACCAGCACAGTGAGAGCAATCTAAGGAGTTCACATCTCTGCCTCAGGAATTCAGATCATTGTCAGAGATGCTGGGTGCTGGGAGAGACTGAAGGAGTCAAGGGGCATGAGGGGGAAAGACGCAGCTCCTTAGCATGCAGTAGGAGCTCAGCGATGGATGGATGGATGGATGGATGGATGGATGGGTGGGTGGGTGGATGGATGGGTGGGTGGATGGATGGATGGATGGATGGATGGATGGGTGAGTGGGTGATAGATAGATGAGTATCTGATGAATGGATATATGGGTGGATGGCAAGTGGGTGGGTTGATGGAGGGGTGGATGGATGAGCAGATGAGCACACCAACAAGTAAATGGATAGATGGATGGATGAGTAGTGGGTTGGGGAAGTGCGTGGATTCATGGAAGAGTCAATGGGTTGATGGATGGATGGATGGTTAGATGGATAGGTACATAGGTAGATTGACGGATGGATGGGTGCAGAGGTATAAATTTGATGATGGATGAGTAGATGGATGGATGGATGAGTAGATGGATGGATGGATGGCTGGCTGAGTAGATGGATGGATGGATGCGTGAGTAGATGGATGGATGGATGGATGGATGGATGGATGGGTGAGTGGATGGATGGATGGGTGTGTGAGTAGATGGATGGATGGATGGGTGAGTGGATGGATGGATGGATGGACGGGTGAGTAGATGGATGGAGGGGTGGGTGGGTGGATGATGGATGGGTGGATGGATGGATGGATGGATGGACGGG